TTATGCCACCATTATAAATAAATCAAAAACCGACCTTATTATTAATTTTTTTTTTTACATTCATCAGTGTGTGAGAAATAGTCCTTAGATTTTGGTCCACATTGACATGATGGGATCATTCAGTTGATGAATTTGCCAAAAGTCCATAATGCAAATCTCTAGTTTCACCAAATTTTAAAGGTGATCAATTGAATTAGGATTTAGAGATTGCAGAGGCCATAGCAGTAGATCTTTGTGACATGGTGCGTTATGTTTAATCAAGTCCAATTGCAATAATCAACGAACACCAATAGTCATTCTTTTTTTATTCCTGTTAGATTTATAGTTATAATGGCCAGTGTGTAGAAGCTTGATGTCAGTACCAACATAAAGTCATGTAAACTTCATGTAAGTAACTTTCCTCCATTATTATCTAAATGCCGAGTGGTTATTGGCTTTGTAGTTCTTTTAGTACTATCCTGAAAAAAATATTTTACTTAAAAATAAGTCTGAAATTGGACTGAGAGGACTTTTTTTAAAACATGTTGAAAGAAAATATCCAGTGGCTCCAAGCTAACTCTACTTCAGAGCGCAGAATAAGTAGAAATTGTGTTAAAATTCTAGCTCAAAAGTGATGCTAAAAGCGATTCATAACTTGCCTTGACAATGATTAAAAGCTGTAATTTGTCAGGCTAGACTTTTAATCATCGCCACATGAACACTCAAGAAGGGGCACAACCAATTCAGACGGGGCGGGACTGCCTCATAACCTGGCATTAATGGTCAGTTGACCAGTCACAAAAATAGATTACACCAACAAAAATCTAATGGTGCTTACATTTTTGTGCTTCATGCCATTGTAAGTTAAACAGTAAGTGTTTTTTATCACTTACTTGGTCAGTTTGACATAACAGAATCTGCTTGAATCTGTACATGTCATTTTTGCTCTATCATCATTTGCTTCAAATTTATAAATTGAGAAGAAACGCTCTTTACCTGACAAACTGTGTAGTGTGGAAAGCTGAAAGGGTGCAGATTTGTATTAATTTCTGTGATAATTATAAGAATTATTTGTCACCGAAATACATTTTACTCCTAGTCTATGGTGTGATGTGTGCTTTTCTATGTTCATGTATGTGAAATTATAAAAGGAGCTATAAATCCTCCCTCACAGCCCTTCAAACGGCTGACTCATACTACACTGATGCAATCCATCAAATATTCATCAAGATATATGAAAAATTGGTTGTCAGAACTCCACTGAGAATATCATTTAGGTCTCTGAGTTCTTAATCGACAGTGGACCAGATTACTGCAAATGTTGCCTCGACTCTCTGAATGTCATGACGGCTTTCGCACCAAAAGCATGAGGGACGTTCCCTGCTAAACATGGGCAGCTAAATACTTTGCAGGACTTGGACTGGCCCCCTGTAGTCTAATAAAAATCTAAGCAAGAATCAAGGTGCATATGAGACCCAAAAGTAAACAAATATTACTTTTCAAAAGCACAGTTTGACCAAGTGAGTGGGTCCAGATTAGGCTTTATCCATCAGTACTCTTCTAAAGATCAAGCCTGACTCAGAGAAACAAACACACAGAGAAGCATGTGTGATTGGAAAACAACGTAAAACGTTTATTTATATTGCTTTTGAAATTACAGCTTCACCGAGTGTTACTAAAAATATAACATGCTTGCTGTTTCTCAATGATAGTTTTCTTTGTTTGTGCAACACTAACTTATTTGAAATGTTCCAGAACAGAATCCATTTTGATCCAAAGATATGCACAATATTAGTTTTGTCATCAGGTCTTAATGTCGTAATTAGAACTTTTAGCACTTTTTGCATCATTCTTTCAACTCATAAAAAGGTTATTGGTTTCCTTATTTCAGATGCTTTGTGTGACCCATAAACAGCTTGTCTTTAAGCATAATATGTTGGTAATGTACACAGACTATCAAAACGAAACCACACAGTCAGTACATCATCTGATTAAGAAAAGTATATTAACCTTGGCAAAATCTGATAAAGCTGCACCAAACTGAGTGTATATAGTAGCTTATGGCAAGAAAACAAATGTCAAGAAATGTAAATGATAAAATATTACATTGAGATAAAATAAAAAATAAGTGTGTCTTTCTGTCTCTGATCAGTTTATGACAATTAACATTCTGAATACTTTCTTTAAAGTAGACAACACTTAATTAAACTAACCATAATTTTGGCCATGAGGTTTTGGCTACTGCTGCCTTAACAAGTACTATGTTAATATTTTGTATAATTTACTTGTAATTCACATACGAAATCCTATATTATTATATCCCAAATCTCTACTTACCAGTTTACTATTGACCTTTATTCTGGTCATCATGCTTTGTTAAAATTAAATAAAACAGTTTTCTCTGAAGCAGTAAAACTATGACACAGCTTAGCATGTTTCCACTTTGAAATGTCTACAGAACTACTTCTTCATTATGAAACTGCATTTGGGGTGTAGCTGTGAAATTCCTCAGAAGAAACCTTTTACATTTTAAATATTTTAATACAGTATTTGCTTTACAGATTGTATTCTTCATTCTTTTTTTTCCCCTTAAAATCTCTTTGAAGCATTTTGCTCTAGTGGTCTTTCGTCTGAATTGACCTTTGCTCTCAATCACATCCTTACTCCAGCTTCTGAGTTTAATATCCTTGCCTGTCAATTGCAGCTGAGAAGAGAGCGACTTTGTTTCCTTGCTTTCATGACAGCTACTCTGAAAAGCTGGCCTAAGGGCAGGACCTCAACAAATTTTCTAAAGGCTGGCCAAGGCAGTCTTTGAGCTATTTTTACCACTCAATCCCTTATTTATTTAGTTAGTTAGTTCTACCTAACACATCCTTGTGATTCCATTTGTCATATTTATAAAATGGATTAAACTTCTCTTGCTCGACTTAAAGTCCTTTTTCTGAAAGCAGCCAGAGATAAAAAAAAAAAAAATACGGATATGATTTAAACTATCAGAACAGAACAAACAAAAGTGATAAACTGGTAGCAATATATGCTTAACATAGCCAAAGATGATCTGTTGTGATGTATCAGGAAGGAAAATCTCTGAGAAAAAAAGAATAGAGCTTTTCTATCATTATTGAAAACATTTGTTTTGTACATTTTTGAAATGATTAAAGATTTATATTTCCATATTAAATTACTTTATTTTCCCATCACTACTTACAGTGTTTGTATGGAGTTCACACATATGAACACTACTCTGTCCAAATTCTGTTTTATTTTGTTCCAACGCGTCTGTAAGAAAGAAACAGTGTCCATTGTGGTAAAAGACATGCTTTAAGCTCGACAGATAGTAAATAACCAGCATTAAACCAATGAAAGTCGTGGCTTTTAGATTGAAAAGAAACAAGTGATTTTTTTTTTAATCGTCACAGCTGATTTTTAACGTACCCAAGTACTTCCTGAAGCCTAGATACTACCACACTGTAACTACAGGGGTGTTTGATTAAACGTGATTAGAAGACACTTAAAAATCATGCTGATACAGAAGAACATGTAGACGACCTGTTTTTGTGATTCACGGGTGAAGACTTAATGTCCTGATTGTGTTAGAGTGCTTACAAGTATCATCCACATCCACTGGTGTTGGTTTTACTGTCTGACACGTTACTCTGCAAAAAAAAAAAAAAAAATAATATATATATATATATATATATATATATATATATATATATATATATTAGATTAAAAGGGGAATATTTTTCTGTCTCTACATGTTGTGTATTCTGAAAAACTATACATAGAAATTTTCATCTGATTTAAATTGCAATAGAATACAATGGCATGCTGCTGTACATACAAATAAATGTCATCAGCAAAAAAAAATAAATAAATAATCCATGATCTAAAATTTTGATTTAGGAAATGTATAGGTTATTTTTTTTTCTGTATCATTCTCTGACTACTTATTAAGACTGGAGTATTGCTGGAAACTTAACCTAAAGAAAGACGGAGTTTAGAGGTGCAGCAGCACGTTCTTGTTTAATGAGGTGGGTGTCTGTGGATTCTGTCAAAGACAGGCGCTGCTGGTTACAGTTTCAAGAGATTAATTTGAGAACCGTAAAGCTTTAACAAGACTTGAAAGGTGTGTACAAGTGTATGATCTGATAGTGAGTGTTTGTCAGACACAAATCTAATGGATGATGAGATACAATGAATGTTTTCACTTCTTTATTTTTCTACATCTTCTACGTCTTTTTTTCTTGTCATAGCAACTCAGTATCTGGGGTTTCACCAGCTTCTTAAGTATTTTCTGTGATTTTCAAATACTTCCAGGCCCTTTCTCCTTCACTGGATAAGAGTCATGTGTTTTTGGTGCCCTTTTGGGCTAAACGTGCTTCTACTGATTGCCCTATATTTCTGTAAATGTCACTGCACTGAGATACATCGATGTTGTAACCCTCCCACTTAACCAGCTCAAACAAAGTAGAGTTTGGTGGAGGTTTAATTTTATAGATAAGATGGATAGTACTCAAAATACTTAAGAATCACACTTTTTAGTTGATATATTGACAATTATATGCGTTACATTGTAAAAATAGATTTAGTTTTTGTTGTTATTTTTAAGCAGTATTTACTACACAGATAAACGAAGCATCTTAGTTGTTTTTTTTATTGTCGTAAATTTATTGTTCTTGTAAATTCATACATTTAAGCTGAATTTGAGCTCATGGTTGCATGTTAAACCTGCTCTGCCTCAATTCCTCGTTATTGCATTGTAATCATTGTTGTGGAAATATGAAGGCACTGGCAGGTTCCTACTCATCTTCTTAATTGTTGGCTGTCAAGACACATTGAGAAGGTGGGATTCTTTGTGCTCTTCAGAACAATAGGCAAATAATAAAGCCGACACCTGGCAGTATTGTTGTCGCGCCAAGATAATATGAATGATCCGACTCGTGTGAAAAGGATGCTGTAAGTTTTCTTGGAGTATTTTAATATCTCGTTCTTGACGTGTTTTCTGTGTTCTCTGACAGATGCCATGTTGCTGGTCGCAGACAGACTGGTGGGACCTTTCAACATTGAAGCAGTTATAGAGCCAATTGATATAAAAATTTCGGAGGCTATTATGATGATGCAGGACAACAGCATGCAAGTGTCAGCCAAGGTACTGTATCTTGAGAAGCCTTGATCTTGTGTTATTTATGCCTATTTTTATTTAATTATTTATGTTTAATTATGGCAAATGCTTTCCCTGGCAGTAAAATACTGTGTAATTTACTGTGTCCAATGCCAAATCCTAACAGCAGCTGCATAAATTTTATATAAATTGGATTTTATGATCTTATTTAAATTTCTCAATGACAGCAGTACACACAGCAGCCACTTTATTAGGTACACTTGTTTAATTGCTTGTTGTAAATCTGCCCATTACATCGCTACAACTCAGTAGATTTAGGTATCTGGTCGTCGTGAAAACAACTTGCTGGAGCTCTAACTGAGCATCGGCATCATAAAGAAAAAAAAAAACTATATATATATATAATACAGATTTAGGTCATTTTAATGTTGGTCCTAGAGGAACTGCTTATCTACTAAGGAAATAATGTGTAACTAACTCTTGGCTAAACAGACAATGGTTCAGAAAAGATAAATATAGCCAGCAGTTATTCGGCAGAAAGCACCTTGTTGATGTTGAAGGTCAGAGGGGAACAAGAAGTCTGAAGTGATGGAAAGGCAACAGTCGCTCAAATAACCAGTTGTTACAATCACAGAGTACAATCACTGAACAACAGCTGAAGACCACACCAGGCACCACTTCTTTTAGCTAAGAATGGGAGACTGAAGCTGCAATTTGCAATTCAAAATTGGTAAATAATGGATTGGAAAAAAAAACATTGCCTGGTCATTTGAGTCTATAAACACCATGGAAGCATGTTCAGCTTGTCAACGTTTCAGAATACTTGTGATCTCATGAAGTGGAGGATATTTTCTTACCACATTCAGGGCCTTTTAGTACGAACTGACATGATTTAAATGTCACAGTTCACTATCATTGCTGACCATGTCCATTCCTTAATAAATTCTATTAAATGCATCAGCAATATTAATTAAAACAATGTTTTTTTTTTTGCTTTTTTTAATTACCATCCCTTAACAATGATAATTATTGTTTAGGAACAATACAGTCATGTAGATGCATCTACATGACTGTAGATGCCACACTTGACTTCCACCTCAAATTATTTTGTGAATTCTGGTCAGTCCTCATAAGTTGTGACAAGGTCCATGTGAATTTGATGGGCTGTCTTTTCCTGTATCAAGAGGGCTTGAAATGTGCAATTTTACCTATTGTCCGTTCTCCTTGAGGTTTTGTTTGGTGAACAAATTGCTCTACGATTACAGCTTTCTCCAATATGTAATCTTGTTCTGAGGTTTTCTAAACATACCAGACTAAATTGCGTTGCAGTTGTGTCACTGTGTGGGACCACAACACACTGGAAAATTAAAAAAAAATCTGAGGACTCAAAAAGCATTAGACAAAGGCATTCTTTTGGCATGATTATCACATCATACCATGACAAATAATTAACCAACAGAGGAGTGCTAAAGACCAGTAATATTGAGCAAAGCATCTGAATAGACCTTACTGGGGTTACAAACTGGTTCAGGTGTTCCTCGGTTAGTATTTTAGACATTTTTTTTAAATTCAGCATTAATTTGTGTATTTTGGGTTCTCTTCCAAAGGAAACTGGTTTTCGTCTATTCCACAGTAGCATTTTTTATAAACATCGATCCACTATTTCTTAGGAGGGTTTTCAGAAAGTGTTTCCTTTTGTGTGTTTTATATTCAGAGAAAAAGTCTCATTTGCCAGAATTGGTGGAGTTTCAATGGCAAAATCCAAATGAATCCTGGATAGTCATTTTCTTTATTTGTCTACATCTTTTTCCATTGTTACATATAAATATTTTTTGTGGTGGTACAGTTTTTCCCTTGAAGGTGAATAGTAAAATGGCAAGATTGATTTTTGCCTCCCCACTCACATGAGACTTGCCACTTTGAACATTAACCTTGGTCACTGATAAACACCAGTGCTTGATTTGTTTTGTCTCGCAGCCACAAATTGAGCTGGAAAAGTATTAGACTTTGGATTTTTCTTG